TACGCCCCTGGTGTGACAAAATGTTAGCCTATACATAATGCATTTAAAGCTCTTTTTAAAAATCTTGGCTTACATAAATTTCTACATATGCCATGTCATCCCATAGCATCATTAAACTAGCATCTAACAATGGACAAAAGTGTTTAGTTGTTTTTTTCTCTAACCATAAGGACTGCCGAGTAATTTGTCCCCTGACTAACCATTTAAAGAATTTAGGGGAAGCATTTAAATAATCCTGTAAATGCACTTAAAGAATGCAGAATCGAATCGAATCCAATTTAATTGTGAAGCGTCTCGAATCAAATCGTTTTGAATTTGCAAAAATCTTTCTTGAATCAAATCGAAAACCTATGACTCGTGAATCGAATCGATTCGCTGTCTACCCAAAGATTCACAGCCCTATCAAAACCACATGAATATACATATCAAATGATCTGTAAGAAAAGACAAAGCAATAGTGATCACGTAATGAAAACAGTTACTCACACTTGTGTGTGTTGCGACATTACTGTCGGATAGTCAGCACAGCATCGTGTTTTAGTTACAATCTTTCTGAAAATCCCGCGTTGAATTGTGCCTTGTTTGTAAACGAATGAAAAGAAAATGAAGCGAACAAAGGACCAAGTTCTTACTGACACAGTCTGAATCTCTATTTACTCTTTCCTAACGTTGGGATCAAAAGGAAGGCAAAGCAAACAATGTTTTTCCACAGCTTAGCACTGCACAGCCAGTTTTTTCTTCAGAGACATCTTTATCATTTGTATTCTGCATATACCTGCGCATTCTCCTCGCTCGAAAACACTACACTACATGCTGAATCAGTGGGCGGGGATAAACACAGTGATGTGGCTCTTCTTCTGCGGATGCGGTGCTTATCCACACTATTACATCATAGAGTAGAACATTCCAAAAGCTGTCATTTTGGCAGATTGGCTTCAATATAAGCTGTTTTTAGACTAACGGGGAAGTTTTGAGTTCTGAAACTTACTGGATGTTTTATAGTACAATGACCTTTTATAGCTATGTCAAAAGATCATGGGTATTTTGGTTTCTCGGTTCATGACCCCTTTAACACTAGAACCACCAAAGGGTAAATTTTACCTGGGGCTGTTTTTTTTCAAATGTACATAACCGATTTTCAATGAAACATTCAAGTCTCCCAGTCATTGACTTTTACTAAAATTGTGTGAATTACAATCCCCTGTTGTTAAAAATTGTTTAGATAAAACCAGATCAAAAATAAGTGCCAGCGGGTCAAATTCACCCTAAATAAAATGCCTATATTTTCACGCTGTCATTTTCCTGCCGCTTATGTTTTAACATTGTACATTGATAGGCAACGCCTTTCACTCACTGAATTAGCTGTCATCAGTTTCATAAATAAAGACAAAATTAGTAAAAAAAAACATGATACCATGAGCGATGGAGAGTCTGACGATGGGGAGATAAGTAAAGTGTCCTGGGTCGCCTCAGCAGACAGCAATCAAGATATCATATTAATGTTTTACCAATGTTACTCATAATTGTTCAAAATTTGGATTATGTAATTTTTGTTTTGCCATTTCTATCATTTATTGTTCGTTTCTGTGGTGCTATTTAGTCTGCCTGTTTCCTGAAGAAAAAAAACGAATACGGTCTATGATCTAATGAATAAAACCATTTTTTGATTACCCGAAGTTTATTGGTTTTGTTCTCTTATTCAAATTATAAATGATATAACTAAACAAATTAATAATTAATTCGGTGAAGCTGTGCACTTGAATTTTTAATCGCATCATGCAGTGTGGAGAATTATTATTGCTCATTAAAATAGGCTATTTTAGTCATTTAAATAATATAGGTTAATATATTATCTAATATGATCATATTATCATGTCTTGAGAATTAGAAAGAAGTAAATACATATTTCGGTGGTGTAATATTATACTACAATGCCATTAATATATTGTTGTCAGTACAGGCTTGTTTAGCTTATATTGACCCTTATGAAAAGTGATTAGTGGCCTGCATAAAAAAAAGCCTTGAACCTAAAACAACAGGACAAAAATATAGTTGATGACTAGACATAATCATTTCATGACTCTAGACACTTCTTTGTGAAGACAGTGGCATAATACAGTGAAATAATATGTTCTTTAGCCATATAAAAACAGTTGTCATGTGCGTGGGTAAAATCTACCTGCTGGCGGTTTTAGGTATACAGCGACCTCTGGCGGTTTTCGTGTTAAAGCAGCTGTTCGACACACAAGATACTCACTGCAACCTAAACTTCTAATATTATTCATGTCAGGGCATAAATCTAGTAAAGATGTCAGTATTACAGTAAAACACATTTAGACTCATACTTCTTCATCAGCTCATCAACCTCTCTTTGCTGTTTTTCTTCCATTGCATTCATTTTTTCATTCAGATTTTTCTCTTTTTGCTTTGAGAGTGCACTCAATACGCTGTACTCTTTTTGATTCTCATGGATCTCTCTTTCATGCTTTAGCTTCAGCTCCTGCATCTCTAAATCATGCTTTAACATGAGAGCATGAAATTCTTTAGTATATTTCTCTCTGAATTCATTGAATTCCTCTGCTTGTTTTCTGGCCTCATCTTCATACTTTCTCTTCATTTCTTTTAATTTCCTTTCATATTCTTCCTCCATTTCTTTTCGTTCTTTCTCCTCCTGTTCTCGTCTGGCTTTATCTTCTCTCTTCCTCTTCTCCTCCTCCTCTTTACGCTCTCGGTCAAATGCTTCTTCAAGCTTTCTCAGTTTCTCTCTCTCTTCTTCCCTTCTCTTTTTCTCTTCTCTTATTCTTTTATCCCATTCCTCCTTCCATGATTTTTCCCATTTGTCCCTCTGTTTTCTCATCTCTATTTTACGGTTCTCGTACTCTCTCTCTATTCTCTCTCTTTCTTTAAGCTCATCCTCAATCCTCTCATTTTCCTTTTCTTCCCTTTTTCTTTTTTCGTGTTCAAAGTCTTCAATCATTTTCTTTTCTTTCAGCACCCATTCACTCCTCTCCTCTTTAAGTCTTTTCTGGTATTCTTCCTCTTGTTCTCTCTTCAGTCTCTCTTTATGAAGTTCCTCCATTTCTCTCCTCTCTCTCTCATACTTCTCTCTATATTCCTGGTCTCTGTTCTGTTGTTCTACTTCTAATCTTATTCGTTTCTCTTCTATTTCTTGTAGTTTCCTTTTCCATTGTTCCTGTTTATCCTCCTCTTCTATTCTTCTTAGGTCTTCAGCTACTTGTCTTTCTTTCTTCTCCTTCTCTTCTTGTTCATCTCTTCTCTTAAGTTCATTTCCCAAGAACTCTTCCTTAATTCTGAGTTCTTCCTCCTTTGCCTTCCTCTCTCTTTCCATTAACTCTCTTTGTTCTGCTATTCTTGTCTTCATCTCTGCCATCTCCATCTCATGTTTGTCACGTAAAAGTTTGTTCTCTCTTTCCATCTCTTCTTTCTTTTTCAGTAATATTCTTTCCATTTCCAGTTTTATGGCAGCTTCTGCTTCTTCAAACATCTCATTGGTGTAACACCCTCCTCCATTCTTTTCAACCATACTGTAGATTTTTTCCAGTAAGTCAGTGATTTCTTTAGAACTCTCTGGTTTTGTATTGTCAATCACATGATATCTTCCTCCACAATCTCTAATCAGCTTCTTCATATGTGAATCTGTATCTTCCAGACAGCTCTCAATTGTCTGATCTTGCAGCTGATCACCATGAGTGAATATTATGATGCTAAACATTCCAGCGTTCTTCCCAAAAGTTTCCTTGATCAGGTTCAGAGTTTCTTTTTCTTCACAAGTGAATCTTCCAATTCTAAGCACCAGCAAGAACACATGAGGTCCTGGAGAGAGGAGACTGATGCACTTCAGTATCTCTTGTTTTACATCATCTGTAGGGATTTGTGTGTCAAATAGACCTGGTGTATCAACAACAGTGACTGGATGTCCATTAACAAACCCCACTTCCTTCTGACAAGAGGATGTCACTGATCTAAAACTGGCTTGAGATTTAAATGCCTTTCTGTTGAGAATAGTGTTTCCTGTGGCACTTTTCCCATTTCCAGTTTTTCCAATAAGCACAATCCTCACACAGTTTGTGCTTGATCTCTCAGTCTCAGCTATGGTACAGAGAAGAGAAATATAAACATATGCACATATTAAATATGACTTTAAAACATCCCCTTGCTGTCAAAAAGGTGAATTTAAAGAACATTAAATAATTAACATAAATGTAACAGTTTTCTGTGGAAAAGTCATGATAGTAACATCATACTAATGGTTATCTAAATGTACAAATATAATTAATATTTGAGTAAAACAATCCTTTAGATATTAAGATTCAGACTAAATGATGTCTTACCTTTTAGATGAATATTTTTTAACGTTCTGATTTCTTTCTCCACTTCTTTAATTCTGGCCACTAGTTGAATTCTGTTATCCATCTGAGCCTTCAGATATGTGTCAAACGAGTAGCAAGTAACTCTATAGATCATCTGCAGCAATTCTGAGAGCTGTGTACTATCCGGTCTTTGTTTAACACTGAGTATGTAATATTTGTTCCCACATTTCTTCAATGATGTCTGAATGTCTTTGTTTACATGTATGAATTCATTGACAATCTTGTCCTGTCTGTTCCCTTGATATATGAACACGATCATCAGACAGTTCCAGAACTGCCCATCAGCTGTGTCAAATATGTCACTCATTAATTTCAGTTCTCCTTTATCATCGTCAGTGAGAGGATCAACAGTAAGGACCAGGAGAAATGTGTTTATGTTAAATGAACATAAAGACAGCGCATGGTATGCCTCATGCAGCACATCCTTCTGAGACAGAGATGTTTTGTTTAGCTTCGGCATTTCAACCAGGGTGACCTTGTGTCCACATATCACACCATCTCTCTTGACACATTTATGATGGGTTTCAAATTCAGACACTTCTGCAGACTCTCTGAGGCCCAGTATTGTGTTCACTGCTAAAGTCTTCCCAGCACTGTTACTTCCAAACATCACCAGATTGAGAACAGGCACTGAAACAAAAAAGGTCAGGGTCAGTTGTGTTATCACAAATTTTAACATTTTAATGTCAAAGAAACATAGTATTTAGGTCCTTCTGGAGTTTGCAATGTTCAGTGAAAAACATCCAGATCTCCAAAAAAGCACTTACATCCTGTATTAGAAAATCATCATAAAACTTGTGACTTGTGGACTTTTATTTAAAAGATTTTATTTTTACATTTATTTTAATTAAAAGACATCTCACATCTACCATAATGATTATTTACATTCGTAAAGCAAGTTATTATGTCTGCTTCTCCAGGAAGGAATGTGGCTTTTAAGTGAATAAAGACATTCTGGTTAGTATAGTAAGTTCTATTGCATTAGGGTCATAATTCTGGTTATTATGGTAAGTTCTATTGCACGAGGGTCATGACTGAAGATTTGATACCATGAAAATAATAATCACTTACTTTCTTTGTTTCTTGTACTCTGAGATGATGTTTGCGCAAGTGATCCAATTTTGTGTTTAATGTCCGATGCTTGGAGACAACATACAATATCATTAAAATACCATTATTGTATACACATTCCTTAATTAGTTAAAAACATTAATATTGGATATGAGGCTAAATGAAAAACAAGTGACACAGTAATTTGAAATTAATGTGGTGCAACTGTACAGAACTGTCTTATTTAAGTAACTTACAAAATCCGGCAAATTTATCCATCACTTTTTTCTTTGATGGCATCTCTGGTGGTGATACATATATTTCCAGGCTGAGATAATTCCATTCATTCTCCTTCACTAAGTTCTTGATTTTTTCAAATAGGTCAGTGACTACACTGTGTTGATCTGTGAATATTGTGTTTAATTTGTGGCATTTTTCATTAAAACTTTTTTTAAGTTTTCTCTCTTTAGCAATACTGATTTTTTTCTCTCCCTCCATCAGCAGTACCAAAGTATGATTCATTGTGTGCTCTGACCAGGAGTTCATGGTATTACTCATATATTTGATCTTCTCGTTGGAAGTATCTGGTTGCAGAATTAGCAGAAGTACATGTGGACCTGGAGCAGACATGGCCTCACAATTTTTTAGTGCCTGAGCAACTTCATCTGCAGGAACATCTCTGTTAAACAGATTTGGTGTGATGACCACAGATATGCTTTGATCCTCAATCTGTCCTATGCCTGGTTTAGCACACTGATGAAGTGGAAGAGAAGCTTCCGTTTCAAATTCATTTCTTCTCAAGAGCAAGTTTCCCACTGAACTCTTATCAGCCCAGTCTTCTCCCAACAACCAAATCCTTAATTCAGATACTGAAAATAAATAAATAAAGATAAAATGGTAGTATCAGTGTTTTATGACAGATCATGCTGTAATTATTTGTTGTTGTTGTTGTTGTTGTAAATATCTAGAAATATAATCATGAGAACAAGGTTTAGTGAAATTTGTAGTAAAATTCTGTGAAATGTTTTACATTTTGTACAGCCATGCATCTATTTTTATTCAGTGACAAAACAACTGCAAAATGAATAACGCCATTTCAAGGATATGTTACACTTACTCTTTGGAGGAGGAGTCATGCTGCTTCTTCTCTCTGATATCTTCCTTTCTATACTAGATGGGGCTGTTGATTCTTTACAAAACCTGGTTAAATCTAAAACATAGTATGTTGTGGATTAATCACTTGACAATGCACAAACGTTTGTATAGCCTAATAATTTCTTCATAAATTTAGTGGGTAGAAATTTGATCTATGTTAGCAAATTGTACGTGAGAGAGGGGGCTTCGGGGGCCCTTTTTCAAAATTATTCAAAAGTGCCCCCCTCAGACAATTAGCAATGATATTGTGGTCAATAAAACAAAATGCATTTGAATTATAATTAACATGACAATGTGTACAAAACAGTAACTAGACTAATCGCTCAAAAATTGGAAAATTCCTGTTTATTTTTACATATCTGTCAATCTGAGGAGTTGCTATGGGTTGCGTGCATTTTGCTTGACTGATTGATATTCCAGTCTGTTCGGAAACCTAGGTCCCCCCTCAGGAACTTCAGCTGCGTTGAACGCTTTGGGAACACCACCGGCGAGACACCGTACTGAAGCATGTGTGAAATAAGTCCAATAGCGAAGCGAGACGTCACGAGCGGGGTCACGTAAGCAACCAGGAAGCATAAAGGCGCATCCGGCAAGTGCACAAGTTAGCTTTTGCTCTTCAGTGAGCGTGTCTGTGGTGTGTGTGTGTGAATGTATGCAAGCACTCAGTCAGTCAAAACTCTGTTAGTAAGCGAGAAAAAGAAAAAGATATGCCAAAGAGTAAATCAAAAAGTGGCGAGCGGATTATATCTTGGGTGGGGATACACACGATTTGTGCGTCATCTGTTTGGGAGCGGAGCATGCATGGGCAGCTCTCGAGGGGGCTGCCTGCCATGATTGTGAGCTTCTCCCGCTCCGTGTGCTTCGCTCCCGCCTGGCCGTCTTCGATGAAAGCGGCCAGGCTCGCGATCCTGCTGGGTCCGACCCCGCTGTTGCTGAGGCACAGCGGCGGCTGTTATCTTGGGGATTGCAAGTGGATTTAGCGGCGGGATCTCGGATCTCGGTCCTCACCCGCTAGATCCACGGCCCCCTCTCAGGGTTCGAAAGCCCGCCTCGCGGTTTCTTCCCCCCGGAGAGAGGGCCAGTCGCTTCATCTATCTTCCTCCGAGAAGGTTGATGTGATGAGCGTCGACACGGAGGAGATTGTGGACTCTCCACCACAGTCCCTCGCGTATGAGGAGCTCGTGTAGGTTGTTACTCCTGCTGTAGCTAAACTGAACATCGAATGGCCAGCCGAGAAACAGGATGCTCGTCCCAAAAGAAAGTTGGACTTGCGTTTCCTTAGATCAAGATCACAACCTTCACGTCGGGGGCTTCCGTTTTTCCCCCTATCTCCATTCTGAGCTTTTGAGATCGTGGGATAAACCGTATTCGTCCCGACTCTTTAGCCCCACAGTATCTAATTACTCACAACATCACGGGGCTGAATGAGAAGGGATACGGGGCGATGCCGGCGGTGGAACAGATGCTCGTGAGCTATCTGTCCCCATCCTCGGCATCGTCCCTGAAGGCCCCGAAGCTTCCCACCAGGCCAGTAAGACTAACATCCAGCCTGGTTGGGAAAGCATATACGGCGGCAGGTCAGGCTGGTGTATGTCTGCACACTATGGTGGTGTTGCAGGCGTACCAGGCTGACCTGCTAAAAGACCTGGACACTAGGGAGAAAGAGGAATCCGACGCAGTCACCAAACTGCTTCGGGCCACCAAGGAAACGGACAGAGCCATCGGCCGTTCCATGGCAGCTCTCGTGGCCACGGAGCGATACCTGTGGTTGAATCTGTCCAAGTTACAAGATAAGGACAGATTCTTCCTGCTGGATGTCCCGCTATCGCCTTCTGGATTCTTTGACGGCGCAGTAGACATCTCGGCATCGAGATGTCGTCCTCACCCATATGAGAGAGTTGGGGTTACAGCTGAACGCCAAGAAAAGTGTACTTTCTCCAATGCAGAGGACCACTTATCTAGGCGTAGTGTGGGATTCGACAACGATGCAGGCACAGTTGTCTCCTGCTCGTATCGATGTGATTCTCGCAGCCGTGAGGGGAGTAAGAGAAGGCCAATCACTTACTGTCAAACAGTTTCAGAGACTGTTGGGTCTGATGACAGCTGCATCCAACGTGATAACTTTTGGCCTGCTGTACATGAGACCCTTGCAGTGGTGGCTCAGGACCAAAGGACCCCCGAGGGGCAACCCGCTTCGCACAATCAAGGTCACACGGCAATGCTTACGTGCCTTAGACATGTGAAAGAAACCTTGGTTCCTGTCTCAAGGCCCGTTGC